TCTTCGTTCCTTGTCGCCATTGTATTTTCTTTCCTTCTCTGATTTATTCCTTCCTTTCATTTTTTTCACTTTCTCTACAGTTTGTTTATTTTTCTTCATTTCTTTTCCCTCGGCTTCTTCGTCTTCTTCCTTCTTTTCTTTCATTGTTTTACTTCCTCTAGTTTTTTTTTCTTTCGTTCTTTCTTTCATTTTTTCTTTCTTTCTTTCATTTTTTCTTTCTTTCTTTCAATTTTCTTTCTTTTGTTCTTTCTTTCAATTTTCTTTCTTTCGTTCTTTCTTTCATTTTTTTCTTCCTTTTGTTATTTCTTTCATTTGTCCTTTCTTTCTTTCGTTATTTCTTTCATTTTATCTTTCTTTCTTTCATTCATTCATTTTTTTCTTTCTTTCATTTTTTCTTTCGTTATTCATTTCTTTCGTTCTTTCTTTCATTTTTTTTTTCTTTCTTTGTATTCTAATGAGTTTCAATGTCGTATTTGACTTAAAATGGTGTTTTTTAAATAATCGCTTCTTCGTAAATCGTAAACTTTGGTGGGTGTGGGTGTATGTCTGAGTGTGTGTATGTGAGCGCGCTTGCGTGTGTGTGCAGGTGCGTGTGTGTGTGCACGTGCGTGCGAGTGATTTTGTGTCTTTAAACACATGTGCAGTTCAGGGAATAAATATCAGTGTGTATGAATGTACTTGTGCGTTCACACACACACACGCGCGCGCTCGCGCACACACACATGCTCACACATGCACACACACACACACACACACACACACATATATATATATATATTCAAACATGCTTCAATAAATAATATAGACATTCTTTACACCAAAACACCACATTTTTACCATTCTTATTACATTAACCACAATAACTTAAGGTCTTTATAAAGTTCTAATTAGTCTCCATATCTACAATTTTTGAGTGGGGGTGAACTCATTATTCAGTCATGATGAGATCGAGCCAGACAATCTTGATAACCATTACACCACGTCGAATTACCCTAAATGATTTTGAAAGCGTAGCTCAGATATGGCACAAGGCCGAAAATATGTGGCACCCAGTGAAGATCGAACTCACTATTCAGTCGTGATTGATCTAGCAAGATCATCTTGCTAACCATTACACCACGTCGAAGTTTCTACTGCCCCAGATCAGTTGTTGTAGCAGTGTTAGATGCACAAACGAACAGTAGACCATTAATTCTGTCAAAAATGTCTAGAATGGCGTACGGAAACGAATTTCTTAGCAGCTAACTTAAGTCGATAGGAACTGCTGCAGTCATAAGCCAGAGATGGTGACAGAAATCGACCAAAAGACATTGTGGCATTGCAACATCCAAAACAGAATGCATTCAACTGAACATCAAACCAGACCTCGCAAGAAAATGCGTCCTAATAAACGTGAACCTTTGTACTGACAATAATATCATATGTCAAAGAAATAGATACGCTCCGTAGATAAACTGATCTTCAATAAGCTACAATCGTAGGTCGTTTAGATCACTAATGTACCAGTTATTCCATCTTTTTTTTTCTATGTACCGTGTCCTTTCAGGACGTAGGTGATTATGGCTCTCCACCTCCTTCTATCCCCTTGCAGATCTCAACAAGTTCCTTCCCTCTGCTTCCTCCTCCAGACCACGCTCTGTCATCCACTTACTAAAGGCCGCTAGGTATGTCACGCGTTGTTTTCCCTTGTCTCAATTTCCCTCTATTCGACACTTGAGTATCAGATTCTCCAGGCCCTCCTTCCTCGTTATGTGTCCCAGAAACTTCAACTGCCTCTTTCTGATATTAAATATAAGCCTCCTCCTTGTTTACATCCTCTCTATGACCTCATCGTTGCTCACAGGGTCAGTCCTTGATATCCTCAGCATCTTTCTGTGGAATCACATCTCGTCTCTTCTTCATCTTTGAGGAGACCGTCCAACATTCGCTGCCGTAAAGAAGGACAGATGTCACGTAACAGCTCAGTATTCTTTTCTTAGTTACCAATGAAATCCTCCTGTCTCGCAATACTCTGCCTAGCTTTTAGAATGCGTCCTTGGCCATCCCAATATGTTCGGTCCATAATATCCTTAGCATCCTTCTGTAGAACCACATCTCTTTCGCATCGAGTCTCTTCTTTATCTTAGAGGAAATAGTCCAGCTGCCGTAAAGGAGGACAGATATCACGTAACAGCCTCAGTATTCTTTTCTTTGTTACCAAAGAAATCCTCCTGTCTCGCAATACTCTACCCAGCTTTTGGAATGCGTCCTTGGCTATCCCAATATGTCTACGGATCTCAGTGTCTCTCTTACCGTCCTTTGTCAGAACGCTTTCCAGATAGTTAAACTTCCACGTCTGCTTGATTCTAATGTCTCCGACCTGCAAATCGCATTTCGGGCTTATCCTTTTACTGATGACCATGCATTTTGTTTTCTTGTAAGTATATGCTTAGTCCTTTCTTCACACTTTCCTTCTGTAGGAAACAGTTGTTTATACAGTGCCGAACTTATATATGGTCTATTAAGAACTGCAGCTCAGGGGCCCCAAGACTAGAGTCTTAGCTTCATTATGAAGAGATAAATTAACAACGTAACCAATAAGTGAGGAACTGTACGGCCAAGAGATTTGGGCTGGTGTCCTTGGCTCAGCGTGACAGATGTAACTGGCAACAGTCTTGTAACAGGGGCAATCGATCTTTCCAATGATACAAAAAACAGTACAAGAGTTGCATGATACAGTGTTGTTCGATAAAAGTGACTTACCTGATTTTTTTTTTTTTTTTTTGCTAAATGTTCTCTTCTCCGATGAAACGAAAGTTGAGCTAAATTCAAAGGATAAGCGATCTAAAATCCGAAGAAGAAGCTTTGAAAGCTCTTTGAATTTAGCAGTAAGTACTGTCAAGCATCCGTTCAGTATAATGTTCTGGGGATGCTTTTCTTTTCATGGAACTGGTTTCTTAAAACCTATTGAAAAGACTCTTAGGAGCGAGCAGTACAAGAGAATTTTACAGTCTTGTCTGCTCCCTTCTGCTGAAAGGGTGAAAATCGACCCCACCAAGAGGATAATGCTCCCTGTCACAAATCAAAATTAATGAAGGAATACTTTGATGAGAAGCAGGTGAGTGTTATGACATGGCCGCCCCAATCTCCTGACCTCAACCCATAGAAAACTTATTGAGCATTATAAAGTACAGGCTCTCGAGAAAGCAGTTGAGCAACATGCTCCATAAGTTTTCTATAGAGAAATAAATAAATTTTTCAATAGAGAAATAAATTTTTCTTTAGAGAAATATATAAATTTTCACAAATAACACTGACTTATTTACTGCTGACTTTGATCCGTCTTAATAAAACACCCTTATATATAATCCGTTTTAATGAAACACCCTTATATATAATCCGTTTTAATGAAACACCCTACCACTTGTATATGATACACATTCCTTCGGAACTTCCACGTGGCTCAGTGGTTATCAAGCTTATCTAGCTCGATCAATTACGACTGAATAGTGTTTTCGTTCCTCACAATATGTGCCCCATACATTCGACTTTGTGCCACATCTAAGCTACCTTTAGAAAACCACCTTGGGTACCTCGATGTCGTGTAATGTTTAGCAAGCTTATCTCGCTAAATCAATTACTACTGAAGAGTCAGTTCGATCGAAATAGGTGACCCATACATTTGGCCTTGTGCCACAACTATGCCACGCTTTGTAAATCATTGTAGGCACTTCAACGCGGTGCAATGTTTAGCAATCTTGTCTCGCTAGAACAATTACAACTGAATAGTGAGTTTGATCTTCACTGGGTACCTCATACTTTCGACATTGTGTCGTATCTAATCTGCGCTTAGAAAAGCACATTGGGGATTACGATGTTGTGTAATGGTTAACTTTTTTAGGGTTAAATAACTGATAAAAATGTGCGTATTATGCAAGAATATTTACGGTAATAAAAAATATAAAAATATAACAAAAGTCCGCGTTTACAAAGAATCAAATAATATCCTCCTAGACTCATTTTCTCTACATAACTCAAAGGCGAACTATCCTGCCGCCATATTGAGAATGTACCAAATGGCCTTAGTCTGGTCTACTGACCTGCTATTAAAAGGATTTTTCTCAACAATGTCTTGAGAATTGTTCATTATTTGACTCATACCCTTAAAAATAGAAATAGAATGTTTAAAAAGAGAAAGAAAGATTTTGATTCTGTTACAGAATGTTCAGACGATAAAGTTTTCGATGTCCAGACGGAAAACAATCAAGGGAGGTAACCAGTTCCTACCCAACAAAATATTTAAAAAAAAATCAATTCAAGAAACCATAATACAGAAATAAAAAAAAATACGCCAGCAAATAAAAGAATTTAAATTTAATCACAAGTTAAGTTCATTTTATTACAGAAAAAGGGGTAAAATAGTAAAAAAATATATATATAAAATTGCCATTTCTTTTCAGTTGAAGAAATTTATCTGTATTTTTTGTAAAGGCTAATTTGTTATCTTTCATCGCACAATGGAAAAGACAGTCGACTGCTTCCTACATTTTATAAAAAAAGAAAAACAAATTAATTTAAAGGGGATTTTAAAAATAATGAAAATATTTATTTTTAGCTTGTTTTCAGTCAATATTTATCTAAATTTTTTAAAGCTTTAAATTAACATATTCATGTTCTTTTTAATAATATCTAAAATAATTTGTGTGTATTTAATTGGCATTTTTACGATATGCATTATTTTTCTGAATTTTCATTTTGGTACTTCTTTTAGTACGTACAAG